GCTTATTCTTTCATAGCCCTCTCCCCCGATCACCACCCAACCCTCCCAGCACCCTTCTCTCTGATCTCCTCTCTTCCTTTTTCTCTCATCACGCCTCCCTCATTCCCTCCCTCACCTCTACACCACATCCGATTACCCCCTCTGCAGCTGCCGCGCCACATTCTGCTGGACATATGGGTTCCACGCGCCACTGCTGCCCATGGCCTGACACATGCCATTGAGCTTTTGGCGCTCGCCTACACCTTGCTGCTCTGCCACCTCAGATGTTATAGCGTCCTCCTTTACCTCTGCAGCTGTTGCCTGAAATGGTTGCAGATGAGTGTGGGCGCACACGACTTTGCATAGTCATGTGAATATTGGGGGGAGATGGAAAATGGGAGGAGGAAAGGGTGGGTGTGCTCATGTTGTGTTTATGCTGCCTATACGTGGCCACGGTGCATAATTGCAGCCGCATCCCCGCTGCCATCACCCTAGCATCAGACTGTGATATCCCTCTCTCCATCTGACACACATTTCCTAGCTCTCACGTTCGCTCTTCAGGTCTCTCTTACTCTTCTTGCCTCCTCTTCCCCCCTTCCTCCTTGAATCAACTCAACCCTGCTAGTATCATATTTTGGAGTGCACCACTTCTCTCCCCAATCCTCTTTTGTGTCGTAATCTCCCTCTCTTCCCTACTCTCCCCAGCCCACTTTTGTATTGTATTTTCCCTCTCTGTCCTACTCTTCCTGACCCTCTTTTGTATTGTATTTTCCCTCTCTTCCCTACTCTCCTCAACCTTCTTTTGTGTCAAATTTCCCTCTCTACCCTCCCCAACCCTCTTTTGTATTCAATTTTCCCTCTCTACCCTACTCTCCCCAACCCTCTTTGTCTTGTACGGTATTTTCCCTCTTTGCCTAGATCCACACCATATCCTCTCAGCATCCTTGCTCGCTTTGTTGCATCTGGGAGACACCGACCTGAGCACTGTCCGTTGCTAGTACATTAGGAATGGAGCTTGTTCTCGGTGGATGACATCCATTTGCACCAACGAGACACACTGACGTGTTGTGGGCAGACGAAATTGAGACTCTCAGGTCCTCTCAGGGCTAATGCTTCAGCCTTGGCGCCAGAGCTCTCTCATGGAGGTCCACTCGCTCGTCGTCAATGGCACAGTCTAGCTGTGAGGCAAATATCTACGCTGGTGCTATGTCTTCTCAGGAACTCTGTTGGCTGGCGTTCTTGCTCACTAACCTAGGTGAGTTGCCTAGCTCTGTCCCGGTTCTGTTCGCTGATAACAGAGCCATGATCCTCCTTTGTTAAGAGCCTATACTCGAGGGCAGAGTGAAGCACATCCAAATGCGGTGCTTCCTGCTACATGAATTGCAGCAGTGTGGCCATGCATGCATAGTACACTTTGCAGAGATTCACTCTACAACGGTGGGAGCTAGACTATGGGGTCAGCACGAGTTGTGAGTGTGATTGTAGCTTTGCCTGCGTTCTTTAGCACTAGCACATTCACGGGAAGATTTGGCAAGAGTTTCATGGGAATGAATAAAAAAGCAATGGCGAGAATGACAACATCAGAGCCTAGCAACGTAGCAGACAAGCTGGTCGGCCGCCAGCGCAGCAAGGTCGACAATCTGTTAGCGTTGCGTAGAGGCACCGCACCAGCACTACAAGAAGGCGGCCTGCCAACAGATCAGGTCGACAAAGCGGCTTGCCAACGCTGCAGCAGAGCGGTCTGCCAGCGTTGCATCCTCAGGTGACAATAGCGCAAGTGCGCACCCACTTCGCATGTGCGCGGCGACGGTCGAGCACGTTCTCGATCGTCGCGCAAGTGCCAAGTCGGCCACGTACCGTCGATTGCGCCTGACGCTCTACGTCGACCTTGGGATACCAGCCCGAGTTTGCCTTTGCCATCGCAGCCTCGACGAGCCTCGCGTGCTTCCGCAGAACCTCGTCAAGGTTACTTGGTTGACTGGGTCGACCACACTGCGCCCTAGTCGATGACCTCCTTCGTCGACCACTACTCTCGTCGAGGACCATCTTGGTCGACGGGCCCCTCCGTTGACCACCTCGGTCGGTCATTGCCGTCGAGCTCCCATCTTCGACGGCCTCCTCGACAGTCCCGCGCAGTTTGACAATCACCTTCGTCGACCACACCCAAGACAGGTCGACGAACCATTTCATTGACCACACCGGAGACATGTCAACGAACCCCTTCGTCGACCACGCCGGTCGAAATCTGCCGCCGACTTCCCATCGTAGGCGGCATCGCAGCAGTCTTCTGCAGGTAGACCAACTCCGTCGACCTGCACATGTCGACCTCTGCAGATGGTTGGCCGCACCTCCCACGCTCCCGACCACTACGTCGGCTTCGCCCAAGAGGGCGGGGCCAACACCTTATTCCCGTCAACACACTTGGCCTCTGGGGCCAACACTGCTGATATCTTCACCAAGGATCTCCCGCCTCGTGATCATCAAAAGTGTCAGAATATAATATTCTTATATGATTGCATGCATAGCTAGTAGTCTAGTCCCTTTGTGGTTTACCCCCCTTTGCCACCTCTCCTATAACTTGAATCTCTCTCATATTGAAAGCCCTCTTCTTTTGGCAAAACCCTCTCGACATGCCTCTCCAAACCCTTGTTCCTATGCCTCCTAATCTCCTAAGTTACTAAGCCTAAGCCTACTATCTTGACAAAAAGTACTACACACTGCTTGGCTTTGACCCAGCAAGTCCTTAGTAGTTAGGATATTGATCTTTATATGCTGTACTTGATTTGTTCTTGTCTGTTTATACTCCTCGGTTGGCCTTGTGGCCCGTTGTCTCATAGGCTGGGCTAGTAGTGCCGCCCTGAGTTGTACTTCATTCACATTGTTGTTCTCGATGACTGGCCTCGTGGCCTCTTATCTCAAGGGCTGGACTAGTAGTGCCGCCCTGAGTTGCTTCCCTTCTTCATTGCACAGCCCCTTACCTAGCCTAGGGGGTGTGTCAAAGTACACCTACATGTATTTGCGTGTGTTATTGTAGGCTAGATTGGGTTGTGCTATAGAGGGTATGGTTCGCTACATATCCCAACTGTATGCCCTTATTCTAGTCATTCGTTCACTTGATTACAATATGGTGGAAGGTGCGCGGATTAGTCCACATGGGGCATGCATGGTCTTTGGAGCAGCCCATGTGAAGGATGGGGCTTGCACCAGCCCACGTATTGCATGCTGCGTGCACCATGTAATATGGTGGGAGATGCGCGGACTAGTCCACATGGGGCATGTATGGTGTTTGGGGTAGCCCATGTGATGCATGGAGCTTGCACCAGCCCATATGTTCCATGCTATGCCCACCATGCAATATGATGGGAGATGCGTGTAATAGTCCACATGGGGAATGCATGGTGTTTGGAGCAGCCCATGTGGTGCATGGAGCTTGCACCAGCTCATTTGTCCCATGTTGTTTTCACCATGCAATATGGTGGGTAATGTGTGGACTAGTCCAGATGGGGCTTGCATGGTGTTCATAGCAGCCCATATGGCGCATGGAGCTTGAATTCTGACTCGGCTCAAAATCACATGGGCCATGCATGATATTTGGAGCTGCCCGTGTGGTGATGGAGCTCGCACACAATCTGGAGCTTGCACTTGGCGAAATGGGGCATGCATGGGGATTTGATCAGCGTATGTGGGGCACACTAGAGCTTGCAACATGCAATATGGTGCATGGTGCTTGGACATGGACATGGTCATCATGGGGCATGCATGGTGTTTGGAGTAGCTCATGTGGTGTAAAATTGCATTTGTTATCTCTAGGCTGCAGTGGGGCATACTCTAAGGAGTACAACACATTAGGTCATTCCTAGTACTTGTACTCATGCTTGCCTACTAGTCCATCATTCCTACGTTCTATCTCTAACATGTGGTGCATGGAGCTTGCACCAGCCCATATGTTCCATGCTGTGTCCACGATGCAATATGGTGGAAGATGCACGGACTGGTCCAAATGGGGCATGCATGGTGTTTGGAGCAGCCCATGTGGTTACACCAGACAATACGGAGCTTGGACCTGGCCATATGGAGCTTGCACCTGGACATATGGAGCTTGCACCTGGCGATTTGGAGCTTGCACCTGGCGATATGGAGCTTGCACCTGGCGATATGGCCATATGGAGCTTGCACCTGGCCATATGGATGCATGGGGCCTGGATCAGCCTGTATGGGGAAGGGAGTGCATATGGGGAATGCATGCTCTGTAGCAATCCATGTGGTTCATGGATGGTTCTTGCACCAACTCACATGGTTCGTACGGTACATGGACCATGCAGCATGTTGAGCATGGACCATGCAGCATGTTGAGCATGGACCATGCAGCAGCCCATGTTGAGCATGGACCATGCAGCAGCCCATGTTGACGATGGACCTTGCAGCAACCCATGTTGAGAATGGACCTTGCAGCAACCCATGTTGAGGATGCATCCTGGTTGCACCAACCCATGCATTTCACGCATGGAGCTTGCAGCAACCCATGTTGAGCATGGAGCTTGCACCACCCACCCTAATTATACCTCTCCAAGCACCCTGATCTGCATCCACTCCCATGATGCATTATCTGGTGAATACAACTTCCTCCCTCCCCCTCCTTCCTCCGCTGCCCGATCCTTGGCCCCTTGACCAACTGATTCCCTCCCCCCCCCTCTTACCAAATATCATCCTCCTATCACATTTTCCAATTCCCTTCTCTCTCCCTCCGTCTTTTCCTTCCCAGCTTACTTTTCCTCCTATCCTCCTTGCCCCCCCTCATTCCTCTCTCCCATCAGTTTTTTTCTCGTGGCCTCATTCTGCTGCTTCACTCTGATTCTAGTTCTCACTCCATCGGGACTCGTTATGCAATGTTAATCATTAGAATGGATAGTTGCATAAGCATCTTATCCAGTCACAAACAACACATGCACACGTGAACATTGACACTGCACTGTTACATATGATACAGAGTGGAACTACAATGTTCTTGTCATACCTCTATACTAGATACTCTTGGGCTTAAACACCTGGATATCATCCATAATGTCTGGTGTGAGCCATTTCCACTTGGGCTCAAACATATTCCCTGCACAGAAATGTGTGCACTGTGGCTGGTTTGTGTCCTCATCAGGTGAATGGCACCTCGGAGGCCAAACTGCCGGCTTCTTTTTGGAGCGAACAGAGTTGTTCTCCACGTCATCTTGGATGAGACGAGTGTCGCACGGGAACTTGTCCGGGCGAACGACTTGGCTGGGGTGTTCCATAGCGCTGGCTGCATACTTGACCAGCAGAATTGCCCAGTAGAGGCGACGGCTTTCCCACGTGCACACCTCGCCCGCAAGCTGATTGGCCTGATTGACGATTTGCCGGGCGTCGCTATCATGGTCCCGTGCCCATTCGATCTGCTGGTACAGATTGGAGAAGTATCGCTGCGTGGGAACGAAGTGCTTGTTAGGACAGAGTAGGGGGTCAAAATACTGCGTGTACTCGCTCATTTGCTTGATCATCATCTGCTTGCTTGACAGGATCTTGCACACGCGTCCGCTTCCGGTTCCACCATCCACATCCAGCTCGTACTTATACCCCAGCTGCTGCGACGGATCAAGACGTTCACCCATCTCGATCCCATCCTGCCGCAAGCTCTCTAAAAGCTCCCCATTCACAGCCGTGCTCAGGTGGTTCCCAACAACCTTTGCGTCGAGGATGTCGGGACGCAGTTGTGACATCCGGTGCACGCGGAAACGGGGGCTGGCACGCCACTGCGTGTCGTAGCTGACGTGGAAATTAGTCATCCCGCCGCGAAAGACGGCCCGGCTCTGCTTCTGTTCCCACGGCACAACGTCCTCCCCGGTATGGAAATAACTCTCGCTCAGATCCACCGGGTCGGGGTAGAGTATGTCGATGCTGCCAGGTGCGCCGTGCGGGCTGAAAATGGGGAGGCCGGCGCGACGATCGGCGATGGAGGAGGCTTTGCTGACGTGCATGTCGCAGGTGCTGATGAAGAACTCGGCGTTGAGAGAGTGCAGGTTGTACTTCGCAATCGCCTCCTTGATCATGAGAATTGAGAAGACGAAGCGGCGCATGCGGTACCAGAAGAACTCAAAGCCACCGAGGCGGAAGAAGATCTCCCCGTCGACTATGCGCACGTGACCAGAGCATGAGAGCACCTGAATTTCACCGTGAAAGAGAGGGGGTTGCGGGCAGAAATTAGTACAAGCATCACATGGTTAAGCCGCATGCATGATGAAAGAAAGAGGTGGCTGGGTCGGCCACACAGGAGAGAAACAAGATGGCAATGGAAAGCCTTCTTGGAACTATAGTCTCTAGCTCACAGGAGAGAAACGATTGGCATTGTGAGGACGCAAGGAGGAGGCAAGGGGATGGGCCGAGGCTCACCCGCCTACTGCAATTTGTTTTTACCACGAGTAGTACTAGTAGGTCAGTGGGAGGTACTCACGTTGGCCATGCGTCCCATACGATTGAGAAGACGCGGGCTGATCATTCCCCGCGCCCCCATGCCCTTTTTCACCCCGGGGATTCCCGTCCACGGATGCAGATAAGTGTGAGCCAGGCACGCGAGGCGGCGCACGGTGGGGGAACCGCTATGCACATTCAGCTCGGGGAAGGCCGCGAGATCAGCCACGCACTCGCTGTCGTCGGAGATTTCTGGAAAGCCGCAAGATCCGAATCCAGCCTCATATAGCCTCTCCACGGGCTCCCGCGGCGGGCTTTTAGGAGTCTCGGACGAGTTGGTCTCTTGACCGCCGCTGCGTCCGAATTGGAGGTTTTTGGAGTTCTCGAGGTACTGAGGTTCTCGAGACTTGCTGGGCCTGGCATCAACCTGACACAAAGACAGAGAAAGGTGGTAAGTATGCATGGGAAATACCGTATTAGCGGGGAAAAGGAATAGAAACGCAAATGGTGTGTGGAATTAGCGGTATAAAACTACTTGAAGGAATTACCAATAAGTGGGGAAGGATGGTGACGGCCAGCCAAATAAACAGCCATTGGCAACGCGTGCGTGTTGTTTCCTCCATCTGCGTGGGGCTAACTACAGGTCAGACTGTCGCTTCAATACTACCAGCTGACTGTTGAACCCGTGACAGCAGAGGGAGGGGGGTGGGGTGGGGGAATGCTGATAAAATTTGTGACCCAAGAAGACTTGCTCTGCCGAATCTGGTTGAGAGGGGCAGTCTTATAACTTATTTAGAGGTCAGTGTCTACACCTGATGCAGCTGAACTGCCTGTTCGAAATGTGTATCGAAACATCCTACAGTCTCATGATTCCACGCAAAATAATACTGTTCCGCTTGAGCGCAAATTGGATACTCGTGATTCTCAAACAATACACGAAGGGCTACACAAATTTTGGAATTGTAGTCGAAATGGTAATGCTGTTAAGCCCTTCCTTGAAGGAATCCAATTGGATCATTACACACACTGACTAGAGCATGAGAGTGAAAAGGGTAAAAGGTGGAGATGTCTGGTACGCTGCCGACGATTCGGCAGGTTCGACGAACTGGCTGCTCTCCCGGCAATCAGGTCCGAGAGTAATTGCTCTTTTTTGGGTTTCGGGTTCCAACTTGGATTCACAATAAAAACTCGTGTGATGGGTTTTCTCGAGTCTAGAGTGGTAGAGCTTTAGAAAGAACTTAACGTGACAGCTTGTTGGCGAAAATGACGAATGGGGAAGAGATATATGGGGAAAGAGAGCGAATCCAACTCAAGGATGGTTTGGCGAGAAACCTAACTCAAATTCGGGATGTGATTTGTTTCAATGTCCGACCAAACCTAGGGACAGAGTAGTTTCTGAAACGACCACCATTTGTCTTACATTTTTTTTCTTCTGACCCCTGTTTTGTAGTGCTGTACCATCCCCAGTTCCGCTCCTCCCCGAACGTCACGCCCCTGGAAATGCGGCACGGCATATGTGGTCCATCCACCTGGCCGGGAACACGCAACCTCCAACACCTGATCTGCGGGAACACCTGACCACGGAACACGAAACCTCCAACACCTGAATGCGGGAAAAGGAGAAATAAACCCCCATAAGAACACGCTGGTTGATGACTCCCAAACGGCATGAGTCCTAGTGCATTTTATGTTTTCTCGCCCACGGGCAGCTCGCGTGAACGGACACCAGCTGACCCTGTTGTGCGTATGAACCCTTGAAATGCAGTACACGCTCATTAGACACACCTTTTCCTTAACAATGGGTATGAAGGGTGCACTTGCTTTTCGCCTGCCTCGCCCAATTCACCACGGGAAAAATCTGTAGTGAGGAAGTGAAGAAATGCTGGTTGGTAACACTTTCAGAATATCTGACGAGGGACGGATGTCAGCGTGATAAGTTGTGTGATCACCAGCTGCATGAAATGGTGGAAATGTTCACTGCCAAATTGCAGAAGGGAGAAGCAAAGTGAACAGAAATATATGGACAGTGGTTGAGCATCATGTGTACTGCCTGGTCTATCTGGGCTGTGGAGGGACGACTTTCTCCTCCAACGAAAGGCCCACGTTGGTGCTGTGCCGCCCCCCCCTTCCCCCTCTCCTGATGAAACCTCCCCACGCCAAACCTCGATATGAACACCCATATTGGACGTAATGGCAGGAAAAAAGTCGGTATAAAGGTGGCAGCACAGCATTACTGATCAGTTATTATTCTGCATATGTTTTATGCTCACAAGACGTATAAATACCTTAATGTCCCAACAAACTACCCATCTTTTGATAAATGTATGATTTCCCATAACCCTGTGCCTACAGAATTCACAAGATTACCTTGCCAAAGCTGGGGTGCAGATTGTAAGGCATGCATGTTGCCAATAATGAATCTCCATATGGGTGGGGGGCAAAATTCGATTCAAGTTACTGTACCAACGTCATCATTTTATGCTCTTTTCACTAACCCATATGAAGGAATTATGATTGTTGGAGGGTGTGCAGGAGAGTTGCTTTGAATGTACACTGCTATTTCGAAAAAATGGTACGCTAGTACCGTAGATGAATGTGTTTGCAAGGTCAGTCGTCATGCGCGAAAAAGGAAAAGTTGCTTTCCTGCATGGGAGATAAGGCAACGAGAGGCAGGGTCGGGAAACGGAGAGAGGAAGAAAGAAGTGAAGAGAGGGAAGCGATGCCACGAGGGCAGGAAAAGGAGAGGCACGACCAGGGGGGCAGAAAACAAACATTTATGGTACACCAGAGAGCATTATTGGTACATTGACCAGCGTTGACTTTAGCTGACCTCTGCTGCGAGACGGCTGCGCCTGACCTGACTTGACCTTCATTGACTTGCATTGACCAGCGTTGACTCGGACTGACCTGAGCTGCGAGACGGCTGCGCCTGACCTGAATTGACCAGCATTGACCTGGATAGACCGGCATTGACCAGCGTTGACTTGGACTGACCTGTGCTGCGAGACGGCTGCGCCTACGAGCCACGGAGCGGTTGCGACTGGCCTCGGAGTTGGGAGAGAGGATCATACGCTGAGAGGAAAGGGAGGGGGGAAGGGGGTGGGGGGACACAAGTAGGGAAAAGGGGAGGAAGGTGTGGACCCCACTCAGCGGATGCTTCACGAGCCTGCGAGCCACGGAGCAGTTGCGACTGGCCTCAGAGTTGAGAGAGAGAATCATACGCTGAGGGGAGGGGAAACAAGCCAAGAAATAGCAGGGTGTAGGAGGGAGGGGCAGGACCAATGGCGGAGGATTGATTGAACTTGTGTGGCTGATGCTTCACAAGCCTGAGAGCCAGGGCGGTTGCGACTGGCATCCAAGTTGGGAAAGAGGATCCTACGCCAAAGGTGGGGAGGGAGGTGTGGTGTTGGGGGAGCCAAGAAATAGTGGGGAGTGGAGGGAAGGGCAGGACAATGGGTGGAGAGGGATGCGCTGATGCGCCCACAAGCCCGGGGAGCCACAGAGCAGTTGCGACTGGAATCCAAGTGGGAGCGAGGATCATGCGCTGAAGGTGGGGAGGGCGGTGTGGGGTTGGGGGAGCCAAGAGATAGTGGGGAGTGGAGGGAAGGGCCAGAGTGGGTGGAGAGGGATGAGCTGATACACCCACAAGCCTGCGAGCCATGGGGCGGTTGCGACTGGCCTCGCAGTTGGGAGAAAGGATGATACGCTGAAGAGTGGGAAGGGGGCAGGGGAGAGGGAAGGGCAGGACAATGGGTGGAGAGGGATGAGCTGATGCTTCACAAGCCTGCGAGCCACAGAGAGGTTGCGACTGGCCTTGGAGTTTGGAGAGAGGGTCATAGGATGAAGGAGAGGTGAGGGGGGAAGCAGAGCCAAGAAATAGGGGGGAAGAGGAGCGAAGGGCAGGACGAATGGTTGATGAGAATTGAGGTGATACAGAACAAGGTTGCGAGCCAGAGAGCAGTAGAGACTGGCTCTGAAGTAAGGCGAGAGGGTCGTCTGCTGAGAGGGGATGGGGATGTGGAAGTGGGGAAGGGGATGTGGAGGGTTGGGGGATATGAAGGGGGGAGGAGATGCCATTTGACTAAGCTTTTGCATGGGTTCTGGAAATTCGGGAAAATCACCACCCACTTTGACCACAACGCTTCCCGCTTTGACCATTGTGCACCATTGCTGTACAGAGCTGTGCTATGTCACCACTGCCCCACCACTGCCTACCAATCCCGACCATTGCCTACCACTGCCCACCACAGCCCACCAACTACCCACCACTGCCCACCGCTCACTTTCTGCACGGCGGTTTGGAAGACTTCCTTCTTCTCCATGCGAGGCTGGTAGCTGAACACCTGGTGCAGCAGCTCGTTCTCCTGGTGGAAGAGGGGAGGGACGAAAGGGCGGAAACGAGAGGGAGGAAATGGCATGAAAAGGGGGGATTGGAAGACTTCCTTCTTCTCCATGCAAGGCTGGTAGCTGAACGCCTGGTGGAGCAGCTCGTTCTCCTAGGGGGGATAAGGGAGGGGAAGAAGGGTGGGAAGGGGAGGGGAGGTGGAGGGGGGGAAGATAAAGGAAGGGTGTTTGTGGGGAAGGTATATGGCGGAAAGGGACCAGGAGAAGGGAAATGGGAAAAAGGGGTAGGTGTGTGTCTGAAGCGTCTCAAGGCGTGTGGGGAGTGTGATTCAAAGTACCTAAAAAGCAGTGTGGGTGGGAGTGTGCTTTGGATTCCCCCAAGGCATGTGGGTGGGAGTGTGCTTTGGATTCCCCCTAGGCATGTGGGTGGGAGTCTGGCATCAGCAGCTATAGACGCGTTGACACATGGAGCCATGGTCAACACGTGCTGCTGCCAACGAATTCAGCCCAGCCTTGGGCCTGCAACAGCTGCCCTCAAAACCATCAAGACAGTTCTTAATATCAGCCAAGGCAGTCTTAAGAACCGCCAGAGCAGTTGGTAAAAGCTGCCAAGGCAGTCCAGAAAACCATCAAGGCAGTTTAAGAACCACGGAGGCAGTCGTAAGGAGCAGTGCAGCAGGCCCAGTCAGTGTTGGCACCACAGTGACTGCACCCCAAGGTTGGGATGACGTCACTGGGAGGGACAGGGAGGATAGGGACCTCCCCATCCCTGCTGCTGGTGCCGATGAGACGAAGAATTGCAGTGGAGTGAAGGGTTGAGATGGCTTATCAATGCAAAGAAGTGCGTGATTATCGAGCGAGGGCTGGAGAGAAGGGAGGGAGGGAGGGAGGGAGCGCAAATGGGAAATAAAGCTGGACATGAATAGGGCGGGAGGGAAGTAGCTGGTAGGCTGCAGGCCCGATGAAGGCGTGATGAAGACCAGATGGAGGGCTGGTTGCATTGATGGGATGGGAGAAGGGCGCGCTAGCCTGAACCATCCCAAGGCATGTGGGTGGGAGTCTGGCATCAGCAGCCACAGACGTGCGGGTGGACTCTCAGCCCAGCCTAGGGCCTGCCGCAGCTGCCCAAGTGTGTTCAGAAGTCCCTCAAAGCATGTGAGTGGGAGTCTGGAAACAGCAGCCACAGACGCATTGACTCATGGGCCACAAGGGCCCATGGTCAACACGTGCTGCTGCCAACGAATTCAGCCCAGCCTAGGGCCCGCCACAGCCGCCCTCAGAACCGCCAGAAGCAGTCTCAAGAACCGCGAAGATAGTTTGAAAACCCGCCAAGGCGGCTTGAAAAACCGTCAAGGCAGTCTCACGAAACCGGTCCAGCAGCCTCAGGGAGCAGTGCAGCGGACCCAGTCAATGTTGGCACTGCAGTCACAGTGACTGTGAGAGACAGGGAGGATGGGCACCCCCCCATCCTTGTTGCTGGTGCCGAAAAGATGCGTTGATTCGACTGTGTGAAGCACTGTCAGGGCAAGAGACTGTTTGCGTAACGAATCGATCGTGCCAGGAACTTTGATGAAGGAGCAGTAGGAGGAAGGGCGGGATGAGAGGAGGGCAGGGAGGGAGGAGGGATGGGAAGGAGGAGGCATGCAGGGAGGGAGGAGGGCGCTCTCACCTGCAGGTGGCGTTGGAAGCCGTCTGCTAGGAACCTCCGGAGAGCATTTGGCCGGTCAAGGGATGGAGGGCAGGAGGGAGGAGCAGATGAGTGCAGGAGGGAGGAGAGCAGGAGGGAGGAGGGCTGGGGGGAGGAGAGCAGGAGGAGGGGTCGCACCTGCAAATGGCGTTGGAAGCCGTCTGCTAGGAACCTCCGGAGAGCATTCAGCTGGCCAAGGGACGGAGGATGGGACGGGAAGAAGCAGGGCAGAAGGTGAGACGGAATGAAGGTACAGAGTCAGGGAGCAAGGCGTCAGAAAGAGTGGCGATGCCAAGTTGCGCGATAAGCACAACATGATAAAGGGGCAGGTAATACCATCTGTCAAGCACACGCCTTTCTTGATGGCTTGCAAAACCTCGTCGTCCACATGTCAACCACTCACCTGCACTGTCAGCGTCCACATGTCAACCACGCTCACCTGCACTGTCAGCGTCCACGTCTCAACCACGCTCACCTGCACTGTCAGCGTCCACGTGTCAAACACGCTCACCTGCACTGTCAGTGTCCATGTGTCAACCACGCTCACCTGCACTGTCAGCGTCCATGTGTCAAACATGCTCACCTGCACTGTCAGTGTCCACGTGTCAAACACGCTCACCTGCACTGTCAGCGTCCACGTGTCAACCACGCTCACCTACACTGTCAGCGTCCACGTGTCAACCACGCTCACCTGCACTGTCAGCGTCCACGTGTCAAACACGCTCACCTGCACTGTCAGCGTCCACGTGTCAAACACGCTCACCTGCACTGTCAGCGTCCACGTGTCAAACACGCTCACCTGCACTGTCAGTGTCCACGTGTCAAACACGCTCACCTGCACTGTCAGCGTCCACGTGTCAAACACGCTCACCTGCACTGCCAGCGTCCACGTGTCAAACACGCTCACCTGCACTGTCAGCATCCACGTGTCAAACACGCTCACCTGCACTGTCAGTGTCCACGTGTCGACGCGCAGTGAGTCGCCGTGCTTCAGCCTGATCACTGTCTCGGAGCACCTTCCGTTGTCCTGATGAGGATGAGAGGGGTGGGACGGGATGGGAGGGGGTGGTAGGGGGTGGTAAGGGGTGGGAAGGGGTGGTAGGGGGTGGTAAGGGGTGGGAAGGGGTGGTAAGGGGTGGGAAGGGATGGGAGGGGGTGGTAGGGGGTGGTAAGGGGTGGGAAGGGATGTGAGGGGGTGGTAGGGGGTGGTAAGGTGTGGGAAGGGGTGGAGCGAAGGGGTGGGGTCAATGTGCATTAGCCTGATGACTGTTTCAGGGCAACACCCGTTGTCCTGGTGACGTTGAGTTGGAAGTCCCCCCATACACCTACATTGCAGTCACTTCCAGGAATTCTCGGAAAATGCTACAACCACCCACCCAACTCTCATCAGGACAGCAAGTTCCAAAGAACCCAACAAGATAAATCTGAACATTTTTCGAAGAATGCACACATACACGCATGCACCCACACACTCACCCGGATGGACCCGAGGATCTCCCGGAACGCCAGGCGCTGGGAGAGGTGGTCCTTCTTGGTCATCTGCTTGCTGCTGCCCACCATCAGCTGCTGCACCTCGTTGACTGTTGCACTTCACCCCATGCACCCACGCACCCATGCACCCAAGCTGATCAAGAACATCAGAACGAATCACTTACCCTGATGGACCCGAGGATCTCCCGGAACGCCAGGCGCTGGGAGAGGCGGTCCTTCTTGGTCATCTGCTTGCTGCTGCCCACCGTCAGCTGTTGCATCTGCTCCACCGCCCTCTGTACCGTCGCACTGCCCTGGCGCCCTCCTGTGAGCGACAGACGGGCACAAGTGGTATGGGGTATGGGGTATGGGTTGTGAATTGCATCAACATTCACCCCATCTGCTTGCTGCCCACCGTGAGCTGCTGCATCTGCCCCACCGCCCTCTGTACCGTCGCACTGCCCTGACGCCCCATCTGCTTGCTGCTGCCCGCCGTCAGCTGCTGCATCTGCTCCACCGCCCTCTGCACCACTTCACAGCACATCACCGCCGCGCACAGGACGGCACCACACCACACCGCACAGCACAACACAGCACTGCAACATGCACCACTGCCAATACCTGCAAGCACCGCCCACCCACAGGTAACTGCTACCACCTCCCACGGGTTTATCAGGCCGCACAACCCCATCCACGATAGAGTTATCCGAATCGCTGCTCTCCACTGCACCGGACAGTACTAGACAGAACCACACAGCAAAGCACTGGCCCATGCGCCACTGCCAACATGCTTTATACAGATTAGATTTGCCAGGGGCAGGACCGACTCACCTCCCACGGGTTTATCAGGCAGCACCACCCCATCCACGATAGAGTCATCCGAGTCACTGCTCTCCACGCCACCGTTTGCCAAGCCATTCGCCGAACCTCCTCCCGAGCCTGCACCGCTCCCAGCTTCATCGGCAGCGTCCGCAGGGCAGTGCTCGTGCACGAGTGCTATGGCCTCGCCAGCCGCCCCTCTCACTCCCAAGTCCGCGTCTTGCAGGCACCGGGATAGTACTTCCAGCTCACTGGAACGTGCCGTGTGGGAGAGAGTCGGGGGAGACAAGCAGGGGAATAAATGAGGAGAGGCAGGAACGAGGGCTATGGCTTCTCTCGTATGCCCATGTCCGCGTCTTGCAGGCAGAGGGAGAGTACTTCCAGCTCGCTGGTTGTCGGGGTTGTGGGGGTTGTGAGGGGGCGAAGGGAGAGACGAGTAGGGAAATAGCACAAGTGAAGGGGAGAACGAGCGCTATGGCCTCGCCTGCAGTTGCAGCCTCCCTCACGCACATGTCCGCGTCTTGCAGGCAACGAGAAGGAGCTAACGCACCTACAGGAGTTGAACTGCGAGAGTGGCAAGGAGGGCAGCATGGAGAGCAGCAGGGTGCAGTGCACTTGGCAAGAAACTCTCGATGCACACGCAGTACATTCAAAGAGCTGACTCACCTGCGGGTGTGAAACTGCGAGAGCTGAGATGAGGGAAGCGTGGAGAGGAGCAGGGTCCAGTTGCTGATGGCTGATCCCCTCACTGCTGCCGGTACCACTGCCTTGCTGGCGCCCTGCAAAAGGGGATGAGAAGGGGAAATGGGGGGAAGCGAGGAGTGAGTTGCGAGGAGGGCAGCGTGGAGAGCAGTAGGGTCCAGTTGCTGATGGCTGATCCCCTCACTGCTGCCGGTACCACCGCCTTGCTGGCGCCCTGAGGAGAAGAGGAAGGATGGAGAAGTGGGGGAGACGGGTGGGTTGGGTGAGTGGGGACGGGAGAAGGAAATTGAGAAGCTAGTATGGTCTTACTGGAGATGAAAGATGGGCGGGGAGGTGTTGGGGTGAGATGGATGGGGATTAGGGCACTCGCATCTGGTTCCTGATAGCGGAACACTCACCCGCTTGCACCCCTGCATGCATCCCTGCACGCACCCCTGCACGCACCCCTGCACCCTGGCATTCCTTCTGTCCTTTTTTTAAACGGACCAGCCAAACCAGACGCCTCATCTGCGGGTTGGCAACGAGCCACAGCAGGCTTATGCTCTCCTCCGTGGCGTGTGCGATTGCCAGGGCCCAAAATCTCGCATTTAGAACCCAAACCCTGACCATCTAGCCCTAACACTTCTTACCTGCGGGTTGGCGACGAGCCACAGCAAGCCCATGCTCTCCTCCGTGGCATGTGCGTCCATGGCCCCCACGAAGGTGATGATGGCCATGGCGTCTAGACACTGCAAGGAGGGGGGAGGGGAGGAGGGGAGGGGGGTGTGATGAGAGGATAGAGGGAAGGGAGCGAGAAGAGATGAGGAAGCAGGTGATGGAGAGGAGTGGAGAGGACACTATGTGATGCACCAGAGTGTGATGATGCTGACAAGGCGAGGGAAGGGAACGGAGGGGACAAGGCGAGGGAGGGAGAGGAGGGGACAAGGCGAGAGAGGGAGAGGGGACAAGGCGAGGGAAGGGAGAGGAGAGGAAGGGGCGTTGTGAGGTGCATCAGAACGTTGTGTGGCATATGCGTCCCTCCCTCCCTCTCCCGCTCTCTCCCTCCTTTCCCCCCTACCCCTCTCCCTCCCTCCCTCCCTCTCCCGCTCTCTCCCTCCTTTCCCCCCTACCCCTCTACCTCCCTCCCTCCCTCCTCCCCTCCCTCTTCCACTCTTTTTCCCCCTTAGCTCCCCCCTTGCTCCCCTTCTTTTGAACACCCCACTCACAGCAACGCGGGTGGCAGCGCAGCCAGCAGCGCGAGCGAGCTTGCTCAGATGCGGAAGCGACGAGGAGAGCAGCTCCTCGCACGAGTCACAAGCACCCAAGGTGAGTGCCAGCAGACCTGGGGGGTGGGGGCGGGTTAGAACTTAGAAGGGGAAAGAGAAAGACGTGCCTGACTTGAGGAGAACAGGTGGTGGTTGGGAATTGAGAGGCGATGGGGGTGGAGAGGTAAGGGGACAGAGAGGGGAACGGGGGGGAGGGAAGAGAGCGGGAGGGTGGTGAGGCGAGGGGAGGGAGGGGGGAACAGACAAAGACAAAGACGAGAGAGCCAGCAGACGTGTGATTGGGACGGGAAAAATACAAAGGAGAGCTATCTTGAGGAGGGGTCGTGAGACAGGAAAGGGGAACAGACGAGGAAAGGACGAGGAGAGAAGCTATTTCGGAGGGGGTATCGGTAGTGCTTACAAGAGCAAGGAGCACTCACCAAGGCATCGGGCAGCTAGAACTTGCTCGGGCGCTTTGCCCTTCCTCAGGCACGAGAGAAATCCCTGCGTGAGAGTGTCGAACCTGGGGGTATTAGAAGGGGTGAGAGGGAGGGTACAGTAGTCAAATCTGGTCCGGGTGCGAGACACTAGAGAGGAAGTGTGATACGCATACACACGCGTACACAAATTCACACACACAATCGCCCATACACACACACACACACACACACACACACACACACACACGTTCACACACACCCGCCCACGCCCGTACACACAGGCGTACACACACTCAACCACACTCGCCCATGAACATGCACACACAAACCACCCCTCCCCTCCCCCCCCCCCCCCGCCCTGCCCTCTTATTCCCCACACACCCTCCCTTTGGAACCTTACTTGTCCTGCACGAGCTCCCCGTGCACTTGAGATGCCAGAGAGGTCGCCAGTCCCTTCATAAGCGCACAGAACCGCATAGCACCACACATGCACGCACGCACGCACACACGCACACAGACCCACACCCACCCACTTCAGAAGCCTTACTTGTCCTGCACGAGCTCCCCGTGCACTTGAGATGCCAGAGTGGTCGCCAACCCCTTGAGCGCCGCCTCACGCGTCGTTGATCTGAGAGGGAGAAAGGAGGGACGGGAGGGAGGAGAGAGGGAAGAGGAGGGTTAGAGAGGGTAGGTGGTGCAGTGGATTAGATGGGTATATGAGATGAGACGCCCAGAGTGGTCGCCAGCAACTTGAGCGACGCCTCATGGGTTGTCAATCTGGCAGGGGCGCACTCACGGAGGGGAGATGAAGAAGGGAGGAATGAGAGGGGGAAGGAGGAAATGGGTTCAGGTGATTTGTGAGAATTTTCAAAAACGAAGCCCACAGCAAGTAACCCTCACTACAGGTCGCATCCACTTACCCTACGTCTAGCATAGCCTCCGTCGCCTTGGCAGCTTAGTGGGAGATTGGCTGCAAGCGCCCACGTCTCACCACAGGCCACCACGCCTCACCACAAGCCACCACGCCTCACCGCAAGCAACCACGCCTCACAAATTCCACCCTCATCAAAGGTCGAGCCAACTCACCGCTTCTCCTGCAGCGCATCTAGCAGTGCTTCCGTCGCCGTCGCAGCGCAATACACGTCGTCGCGCGCGCCGGAATAGACCGCGGGAAGGTCGTTTGACGACGACGCGGTGCTCGCCGTGTCGTCGTCGTCCGCGTCGCCGTTGCGCGACGAACCGCGAGAACTCTTTTCTGCAAAAAAACAAGATAAGGAAGTCGTTGGGGGGGAGGGGGAGATGGGGGAGGAGGGGGTGGGAAAGGAAGGAGGAGGGAGAGAGAAGAGAGGAGAGGAAGGAGAAGCATTAGCATAAGCAAAAGCCTCGTTCCAGTCATTTCGAGCGCCGCTGCTCGCTGGTATCGACGCCGTCTGCGCCGTAGGTGTGGTTCGTATTGTCCGTATTGTTCGCATCTTCCGCAAGGTCCGCGTGGTCGCTGCGACCAGATCCGCGGGAACCTTGATCTGCAAGAGCGGAAGCAGGATGCTTTCCCGCTGTACAGACAGAGAAGGCAGCACATGTAACGACTTTTGCGGCGCCACAAATGATGCCTCGCCAGAACTACTCTCTCGAGAGCGTAGCAGGCAGAGCAGACAGCACACGGAACGCGGAGACGGCGTGGCAGCAGAGCAGGCAGTCGGTTCTCAAGGTCGCCGTTGCTCGCCGTGTCGCGATTCTCCGCGTCGTTGACGCGCTCAGTAGAGGACCCGCGAGAACCATATAACGAAGGAACGGGGAGTAAAAAGCAGGTAGCGGAGATGATGGACGAAATCCGAAGAGAACCACAGCAGTGCACAGCGGAAGTTAAGGAATCCGTATGCATGTTGCATGTCCCTTAACCAGGTGAGATCAAACGGCAAGCGAGCACACAGACGTAGTGCAAGAGTGACTGCGAGGGAAAAGACGGATGCGATACCCTCGACCACAACGTTTCTAGCTTCCCATTCGACGAGCGAGATGGAAGAGGGGAGATCATGATCTTGCAGGAGACGCTTGAAATCTCTATTAAAGAGAAAGAAAGAAAGAAAGAAAGACAGAAGAAAAGCAAGAAAGAAAGCGTAAGAGCAGGGTATAACGGTAGACTTACTCTTCCCCATTCGTCGCTAAATCTGGTCGGCGATACGCTTTAGACGAGACGAACGGCAGCACTAGGCCCGAGGACTCGAAAGGAGAGTCTCTGTTGCAATATCTCCTGAGAAAAAGCCTGAAGGGACGGCTGAGGAGGCGCCTGAGAAGCAAAGCTATTCTTGTAGACAGGTGGCCCAACCGAATCTGCAGCAGTAGGTGCTATTCCGGTAACACTTATTTAATAATTTTACCAATGCGGGCGTCTTGTCGACTAAATGCGGAACGAGTAAAGAAGCAATGCGAGAATGCGATAAAGGCTCGGAAATCCTAACGTTCCTGAGCGCGTAAGTTTTAAAAGCCGGGATTACGAGACCGAAGGAAGACAACGTATCTATGTCTATAAGGCCATCTGAAACTTCAGAAAATTACGGGGAAGCAAGAAGGCTTTTCACCCCGCCATGCTTAGACGAGCGTAGAACGGCAATGCTGGTACCTTAGCCCGCTATCATCGACCTAGCGGACTCCTGGCTCTCCGTTCCCTGGAGGTCTGTCCTCCTGTGATCTTAGAAATATTTTAAGATCCCAAGACTGATCGCCTATTAGCAACTGGCCCCGCTACCGCCGTGATCAAATGGAGCCTGAAATCGGTAAAGCTGGGAGGAGGAGGTGCTGGGAGCGCCAATGATGGTCATGGAACGAAAGGAGAAGCTGAGGCACGCCATAGATGAGCAATGGGGGACGGAAAGAAAAACCTGTGAGAGCAGTTTTCCTACTAGGAGGTGAAAAGAGGGTTTGAGAATGGCAGTGCTTGCTGCTTTATTCCTCGTGCTTTGGGCAGAGAGCCACGCCAATGGCGTTCTTGGGGAGATGGTTCGGTTGACCTTGGGATTTGTCTTGCCTTGCCTGTCCCCTCCTCACCTCCCAAACCCAACTCCAATGCTGGATTTCGGGGAAAGTGATTTCAAAAGCGTTTCCATTGGGGATCACAGCTGCGAGTTGAACCAGCTCCAATGAAGCGAGGGTGATATGGCTTCGTCATCATCCAGCACAGCGAGTTCGAAATATCATCAGCCGCAAAAAAACATCCGTGATGAGAACCATAGCAGAACCAAAGACTCCATGTACCCGATTTACACCACTAACTAAACATAAAAGCTGAGTAAGATTAAACCAAAGACTCCATGTCTCATACGTGATATACATATTCCAGCATTTATCCAGCTCACATCAATGTCAATTTGCAACGTTCTGCTACTAAAGCACCTCATAACAATAATCTCCCATGCGAACCTATAGAGTCACCACACAATGGCATGCATCATTTTGTACAATCTTTGTTGCTAATCACACTACCATCATTTCTGTTAGTCAAAACTTGAATGGACTAGCCTTGCTGCCAGCAGCACCATCCACTCTACCCTTCCTCCCCACTTCCTCATCCAACTGTTACCTACCACTATCATCACCCGAAGCATCACTTTTGCCCAAGCCGCCACCGCCAGCACCAATAGCATCGTCAGCAGGAGCAGCACCAGCAGCACGATCAGCACCAGCAGCACCAGCAGGAGCATTGTGTCCGAAGCCAGAATCCTCTCCATGTGAGTGCAAGGCCTGCTGGGGCACCCCTTGTTGCTCCCCTCCCTGTGCTTGCATCCCTTGCGCCTGCAACCCCTGCTGCTGCGGCATTGCTTGCGGCTGCAATGCCGATGCCATTGCCGCTTGAAACAGCAGCCGCATCAAATCCGCCTGCTGTGCTGCTTGCGAAGCACCACCACCAGCAGCCATGGGCGGTGTGAGCGCCCCTCCATTCGCATAAGGGTATGAGGGAAAGGCGGTGCCATTGGTGGTGGCAGCAGTGGGGTTAGGGTCTTCTCCCAGGTGTGGCAGGCTGGCACTGCTGCTGCTGCGCTTGCGCAGATAGTCAAACGCAGCGTCTCGGGACGGCCGGGACTCGCTGAGCACGCGGAGGAAATCCGCCCGGGCGAGGGGGCGCTGGGAGGTGGGATCCTGTTGGGGGGAGGGGAGGAGAGAAGGGGCGGGGAGGGGGATTGGATGTGAGACAAAGTGTAACATGAAGTAGTGTGGGGGGTTGTTGCTGGGACTTGTGGAGCATTCACAGGAAGTCTGCCAGGGCGAGTGGGAGCTGGGTGGTGGGCTCCTGTTGGGGAATGGAGTACAGGGAGAGGGGGAATAAGAACGGGGGAGAATAGACGGATCAAAAAGACCGATGAGGACATCGAGCGGGCATATCCCACTCAGGGACTGCTCAGGAGTGTGGATTTGCTGAGACGATTCTTTTAGACCCCTCAAAAATCGTTAGCAGGGACTGCTCAGGGGTGTGGATTAACAGCCAAATCTCTCAAGTATAGCGAATGCAACAAACGCATCTCTCAGTTCTCTCCTCTCTTTTCATCCTCGGGAAAGTCATGCAGTCATGCAGAGGCAGGAAGACCGCCTGCCTGCACACCTCTGTGAACGGTTCATTCTCACACGAAACTTCCACCCTCTCCCCCATCTCTCCCCCCCCCCTTCCCCTGCAGCGCTCTCCTCTCGTACTCCAGAGATTGTGTAAAGGAAGTTATGCCACCTGCTCGCACAGCTCCGTCAACAGCATTGCATTCTCACAGCCCTACCCTCCTTCGCCCCTCACCTTCCCCTTCCCCTGCAGCGCTCTCCTCTCGTCCTCCAGAAAGTCATGCAGGGGTAGGTACGCCGCCTGCTTGCACAGCTGTATGAACAGAGTTTCACTCGCACAGCCCTTGTACCCTCCTTCCCCTCTCACCTTGCCCTTCCCCTCTCACCTTGCCCTTCCCCTCTCACCTTGCCCTTCCCCTCTCACCTTGCCCTTCCCCTCTCACCTTGCCCTTCCCCTCTCACCTTGCCCTTCCCCTGCAGCGCTCTCCGCTCCTCCTCCAGAAAGTCATGAAGAGGCAGGTACGCCGCCTGCTTGCACAGCTCAGTGAGGTCTGATCCGCTGTAGCCGGCACACAGTGAGGCGATTTCTTGCAGATCCAAGTCCTCATCCACGTCCTCGTCCTGTTGATGTAGGGAAGGAGGGGAATGAGGAGTGTGAGGTGGATGGAGGAGACAGGAAAGCTCAGTGAGGTCTGATCTGCTGTAGCCCGCGCATAGGGATGCGATCTCTTGCAGATCCACGTCCTCGTCCTCGTGAGGGGGATGAGGGGAATGAGGGGAATGAGGGGAATGAGGGGAATGAGGGGAATGAGGGGAATGAAGGGAATGAGGGGAATGAGGGGTGAGGTACATTAAGGCTCAGTGAGGTCTGATCCGCTGTAGCCTGCACAGAGGGATGCAATCTCTTGCAGCTCCACGTCCTCATCCACGTCCTCATCCATGTCCTCGTCCTGGTGAGGGGGGTGAGAGGAATTAGGGGTGAGGTAGGCAGAGGAACATGATATGAGAGCATAAAGGCTCCGTGAGCTCTGACCCATTGTGCCCCGTGCACAGGCAGGGGATCCACAGGGGTGGATAAAGGGGGAGGGGATCCGTAAAGAGGATCCCCGAGCTCACTGTGCCTTTATGCTCCGTGAGCTCTGACCCGCTGTACCCTTTGCACAGGGAGGGGACCTCCTGCAAGTCCAAGTCCTCATCCACGTCCTCATCCACGTCCTCATCCACGTCCTCGTCCTGCAGGGAGAGAAGGGGCAGAGAGGAATCAGGGTTGAAAACAGGAAAGCTCCGTGAGCTCTGACCCGCTGTACCCCGTGCACAGGGAGGGGACCTCCTGTGGATCCAAATCCTCATCCACGTCCTCGTCCTGGTGAGCAGAAGGGGAGAAGAGGAAACATGAGACACGAGATTGCGAGGCCCGAGAGGCCCGACCTGCTGTACACGACACACCCACGTCCTCGCCCTGTGATGGAAAGAAGTGGAGAAGAGGGAGAAACGGGGAGAGAAGGAGAGAGAAGGGGGGAGAAGGGGAGAGAAGGGGAGAAGCAAGAGAGACATTGCGCATGTTGTATTGCATGTTACATCCAATGAAGGACCATTCTAGAAGCAAGAGAGACATTGCGCACTCACACCCTTTTGACAAAATCACTCGCAGAATGCTGGTGCGGCCGGCCAGGTCCAGCAGGGGAATGTCGACGTGCCGAGGCAGGTGCCGTACACTACACTACACTACACTACACTACACTACACTACACTACTCCCCTTTGAAAGAATCACGCCACCGTATTAAACCACAGCCTCCCCTTGCAACTCACATACCCACAGGGTGACTTGCAAAATGCAGGTGCGATCGGCCAGGTCGGCAGGGGGGTCTCGACGTGCCGATGCAGGTGCCGTACACTACCCCCCTTGAATGACATACCACACACCACTAAGCCCTCCCTCTTGAGAGACACATATCCGCAGAATCACTAGCAGAATGCTGGAGCAACCAGCCAGGTCCGGCAGCGGGATCTCAAAGTGCCGCGGAAGGCGCCTGAGAATGGCAACGAATCACGCCAGATAGCATCACACCCTCTCACATTGCACATACCCGCAATTAGGATCACTTCCAGGATGCTGGTGCGCCCTGCCAAATCTGGTAAGGGGGATCTCAAAGTGGCGGGCCGGGCGCCTTGCTCTCCCTTAGAATCACGCCACATAGAATCACAGCCTCTCACACCGCACATACCAGCAGGATGACTTCCAGGATGCTAGTGCGGCCAGCCAGGTCCGGCAGCGACGGGATCTCAAAGTGGCGGGGCAGGCGCCTAAAAATGGCCTGATTGGGTTGGGTCCAGCCTCAAGACTCCCACTGTTCACACCCTCTTGAAAGAGTAACATACCCGCAAGATCACTTCCAGAATGCTGGTTCGCCCGGCCAGGTCGGGCAGCGGGATCTCGAAGTGGCGGGGTAGGCGCCTGAGAATGGCCTCGTCCAGCTCCCAGGGGCGGTTGGTGGCTGCTAGCACCATCACCCGCGCCGTGTCTGATGGAGGGTTGCATTGCAGGATAGGATAGGAGGGTAGGTAATGGGAAGGTAAGGGGTGGGAAAGGGGTGAAAGATTGATACAGGCGCCTGAGAATGGCCTCGTCCAGCTCCCAGGGGCGGTTGGTGGCTGCCAGTACCATCACCCGCGCCGTGTCTGGTTGGGGGGAAGATGGGAGGAAAACGGGTGAAATGTCAGAGTGTGGAATGAGAAGGCACACAGCACTCACCCAGCCATTCACCAGCCCAGCCACCCACCCACCATCCGTGCTGAAGCCGTCCCACAGCGACACGAACTCTGTCTTCATGCTCGTCAGTCGTCACCGCCTCGTGCTCTGTGTTCCTCCGCTGCCCTGTGTCAGTCACATACCCACCACTGCATGCACCCACCCACTCACCCACCCACCCACCATCAGTGCTGAATCCATTCACAGCGACATGAACTCTGTCTTCATGCTCGTCACCGCCTCGTGCTCTGTATGCCCTCTTGCCTCGTGTCACTCACTCACTCACCACTGCATGCACCCAAGCCAATACTGCGACTCTGACGTACCATCAGTGCTGAAGCCGTCCCACTGAAACATGAACTCCGTCTTCATGCTCGTCACTACCTCTCACTCACTCACCACCACTACATACACGTGCACTCCCTCACTGCCACATGCACTCACTGCCTTGTCAACACCCCCAGAACTCACCATCAGTGCCGAAGCCATCCCAGAGAGACATGAACTCTGCCTTCATGCTCGTCACCGCCTCGTGCTCTGTATGCCTCCTCTGCTGCACCGTGTCTCTCGCATACCCACCATTGCATGCATGCACCCACTCACTCACTGCCGCACGCAATCACTGCCTCGTGAACAATTCCCCCCCCCCCCCAACTCACCATCAGTGCTGAATCCGTCCCACAGCGACATGAACTCCGTCTTCATGCTCGTAACCGCCTCGTGCTCCGTATTCCTCCTCTGCCTCATGTCACCCACATACACCTAGACATGAGCAAATTCCCGAACCCCTGTTCGGTTCGAGTCGAACTTGGCCAAAAATGTTCGTGACGAACACCTAGGTGTTCGTCACAAACATGTTCGAGTGTTCGTTGCGGTTCGTGCAAAAAAATGCACGAACACCTACGTGTTCGCGAACACTTTGTGTTCGCGGGCGAACACCGAGGTGTTCGTCGAAATCCAGCGCGTCAAAAATTGACGTGCTGGTTGGATCTTAAAGGGGAAAGCGACGATTGAGCTCATTCTTGGGCTCAATCGTCAATTTCCAGTTAGGATAGCATTCCGCCCACTACCCATTTAAACTGCACCACTCCCACGGTTTAAAGTCCACATTGAGGCTAGAAACGTTAAGTATAAGGGTAGATTAGGTTAGGAAACGTTTAAAAACAGAAATCAATAGCATTTCGTTTTAGCTAAGAGTTTAGCAAGGCGGATGGATTCAGAAATGGTTGATGTAGGGTTGGTTAGCAGCCAAGACAAGGCCATTCCTGGCCCATCCGCAATACTAGATACTGCAACTGGGACCGCAAGCCCTCTCGCACCTCTCGAGCTCATAGGGGGGCAATACCTAGGAGTCCCCACGTCACCAAAAAGCTACAGGTTTAGTGGCGGGGGGCTGGCTGCACCCTCACATCGGTATGGGAAGTCTCGTGATGAGATCGAAGAGATTTCAGAGGAGGCCGAGGAGGATGCGGAAGGGGGGGGGGGGGGAAGGTCAAGGGTGGTGGGGGTGGGGGGGAAGCCAAAGGGATTGGCTGGAGAGTGGCGGCTGGAAAAGAAGCGCCCACGCATCCAACGTAGTCCATCCGATAGCACCGACAAGGATTATGATCCGAAGAAAGATGGGGATTGCGCGGGGTTGAGGGATGACGAGGAGGAGGAGGAGGAGGAGGAGGAGGAGAAGGGTGAGGAGGAGGAGGAGGAGGAGGAGGAGGAGGAGGAGGAGGAGGAGGAGGAGGAGGAGGAGGAGGAGGAGGAGGAGGAGGAGGAGGTGGAGGTGGAGGAGGAGGTGGAGGAGGGGGAGAGAGAGGGTAGTGGTGAGGAGGCTGAGGAGGAGGATGAGGAGGAGGAGGTGTCCCAGCCAGGGAAGGCTAAGAGGAAGGCCAAGGGGAAGGCCAAGGGGAAGGCCAAGGGGAATGCCAAGGGGAAGGCCAAAGGCAAGGGGAACGGGAAGAAACAGGGCAAGGGTAAAGGCATAGAAGTTCAGGAGGGGGGGGGAGAGGATGGTATGGCCGCGTCGGTAGATGAGAATGATGGGCCTTTAAAGGCCACGAAAGGGTGTAAGAAGGCCCCGGGTTGGCAGGTCCAGACGTTCGGGCCATTGGGGGCGGATGAGAAGCGCAAGTGTAAGATGTGCGACACCCGTATCAGTTGGTCGACGGGCACTACGACTCCAGGGGTGCGCCACATGGTTGCGAAGCACACGGCGCACCACGACATTTGGCAGTATAGGTCCCTAAGACCACACCTACTGACTAAGGGGGAGACTTTCCCGGAGGGTGGCTACGATGGAGTTCCCGACAGGAAGGTGGTGAATTGGCCACACGTGGCCTCGTGGCCCAAGTTGCCGGTGGTGCAGACCCCGAGCGTGAAGGGTGAGGCAGGCGGCATTGAGCGCTTTGTTACAGCGAGGCTGAGTAAGCTGAAGCTTCGTGCGGCGATCACGAAGCTTGTGGTGACTGGCGACTTGCCCTTTCGCATCGTCGAGCTGGATGCGGTGAGAAAGCGTTCACCCCCCCTCCTATTCGTTGTGCTTTGATGGATTGAGATTGCTGGCCGCACGTGCTACTTCATTGCAGTACAGCCAGCCATCATGGCATCATGAATTGATGTCCACCTTATTCGCCCCTCCTCGTGCTTGTATATATAACACCAGTTCAAGGAGCTGCTGATCCTGCTTAACGAAAAGTGTGGGGAAAAGGGCGTTATCCCATCACGCTGGACGGTGGCGCGCGACACCGTTGTCCTTGCTGACTTGGCGCTCGAGGCAGCGATTGCAGAGCTGGCTTCTACAACCTGTGCCGTGTCGTACAGCACCGACATGTGGACAGGCCCGAACGGCAAGGCCTACATGGTGCTGACAGGTCACTTCGTGTCAGTGCAGTGGGAGTTGCGCCAGGTGATTCTTGCTTTCGTCGAGATGGCTGGTAGGCATGGGGGGAAGGAAATTGCTAAGGCGGTGGAGAAGGTGGTGGTGCAGTGGAAGTTGCAGACGCGTTGCCTCGGTCTCACGACCGACAATGCGTCTGCAATCGTAGTTGCTCTTCGGCACCTGGCGGAGGAGGGTGAATTCTCGGGGTACTTCAGCGAGAAGGCGCACTACAGGTCCGTCTTGTAGCTGGATTCCAAGTTCCTAAACCTGGTCCCTTTTGCTTCTGTCCGCACCATAACACCCTTGTAACCTCGTTCGCCGGTTTGAAACCCTAAACCCCTCCGATCCAACGCAGGTGCCTGTCGCACATTGTGAACCTGGCAGTGCAGTCTGGGCTGGGTGTGGAGTCGATGACGGTGCCCCTGAAGAAGGTGCGGGAGATTACTACGTGGGTGGGCATGTCGCCCCAGCGAGGAGCCGCCTTCATTGCGCTGCAGGTTCGGCATGGAGTGCTGCCCAATGGGCCGCACAAGCTCGTTCAGGACAGTCCTACGCGGTGGGGGTCCACACACGAGATGGTTAAGCGCTTCTTGCTGCTGAGGCCCTTCATCGACATGCACTTTGCCCGCGAGCAGGTACGGCTCCATTCGTATCCATTGCAATCAGTGTTGATTAGATGCGTAAGAGCTGTTGCTTTGAAGATTGTCGGAATCCACTACGTTCCAACCGTTCCCCAAGCCTAAGCACATGTACTCAATGTCATCCAACCCAATCTTGCGCCCTCACCTAATCTACAGGGCACCACGAAGGAAGAGAAGGAGAAGTGGCGAGGTTTGCGTGTGACCGATGTCGAGTGGGAGGCCTTGGGGGCTTTGGAGGGGTTTCTCCGTCCCTTTGCCAGAGTCTCCACGGCCGCCGAGGGGTCGACCTACCCCACTGTGTCGATGGTGCTGGCTTACTTCTACGCCCTCATCGACAGCCTGGAGAAGAAGCTGCACACAGGGACGCATGAACTAGTTCGTCCACTCATGTCTGCCGCGCTGGGGCACCTGAAGCAGTACGAGTTTGCCATCGGGGACGAGTACTGGATCGCGACCTTCTTGGATCCGTCCATGAAGGCCGAGTACTTCAGGATGACACACTGGGAGTTGATGCATCCAGGCATAGTGGCACGTGACGGTGGGCGGCTTAAACCACGTATGAGTGCGGACAGGGTGGTGAGCTTGGTGCGCCGCCGAGTGGAGGAGTACCAAGCTCGAGCAGCACGTGAAGCTCCCACCCCACCACCAGCACCAGCAGCAGCAGTGGTGACACCGTTCGAGGACGACGACGACGAGTTTGTGTTCTCTAGGGCACAGCTGCAGAAGCGTGTTTCAGCTAGCGCAGCGGCGAGAGCGGGGGGAGGGGGGACGTCGGTGGGGGATGAGGTGGATCGGTACTTAGCGGAGCTGCCTGTCTCGGACGTGCCAGCGCTGCAGTACTGGCAGCGTGCGAGGAACATGGACACGTTGAGGCAGATGGCACGGGATTACCTCGCTATCCCCGCCACCTCTGCAGCTAGCGAGCGAGCTTTCTCCATGGGGAGGAACCTCATCTCCTTGCACAGGCACAGGCTGAACACTGAGCGTGTTAGCGCGAGCATGACTCTCAGGTCATGGTACACGTCACACCCTGGGAAGAGTATTGGTGAGGAACCCGGCCGCAGCGGAGAGCAGGCACCACCAGAGTTGGCGCTGGAGGGAGAGGGGCTAGATGAGGGGGATGAGGAGGAGGCTGTTGCTGTGGGGGGAGGAACTGGAGTTGAGTGAGGGAGTTGCATGGGGACTTGGTGCTGTCTGGCTTTGTTTTGCATGTCCTTGACTTGTCGTTGCCCTGAACTTTGAGCTGTTGACTTATTTATCCATATTTCACTAGACCATGTGTGCGAGACATTGCGGATCTTCGCTGCTACCTTTATTTACATTCTGATTTTGCTTGTAGAACACACGCCCTGAGTTTCTTACATGCACTGAATGTGATTACAATAGAAAGTACCCCCCATGGCAAACTGTTCGAGTTCGTGGCAAACTGTTCGAGTTCGTGCCAAACACCTTAGTGTTCGGCCATGCCTCAAAACTGTTCGACACTATACTCGAACGGGGAACACTAACATTTACGAAAACTGTTCGTGGCAAACGTGTTCGGTTCGGTTCGAGTTGACCAAGTGTTCGTCAACTGTTCGAGTCAAACGTGTTCGGTTCGCTCGTTGCTCATGTCTACATACACCCACCATTGCATGCATTCAACTCACTTGCGCATGCACTCGTTGCTTTGTCAACACCCCCTCAACTCACCGTCAGTGCTGAAGCCATCCCACAGGGACATGAACTCGGTCTTCATGCTCGTAACCGCCTCGTGCTCCGTGTTCCTCCTCTGCCCCAGGAATGACTCGACCTCGTCGATAAAGATTATAGCTGGCTGCAGCTTGTGGGCTAGCGTGAACACCGCTGTGACTGTAAGGAACAAATGGGAAAGGAGTGGAAACATTGAGGGTGAGAAAGAAAAGAACGAGGAAACGGGTAATTCCTGCTGCAACAGTCTGCATGTGCTGCCCCCAGGAAGGACTCCACCTCATCTATGAAGATAATGGCTGGCTGCAGCTTGTGAGCTAGAGTGAACACCGCTGTGACTGAAATGCGGGGAAAGGTGGAGTGTGCAAGGAGGGAAGGGGAAGGGTAAGATGCTCCGTGTTTCTCCGCTGCCCCAGGAAGGAAGGACTTCACCTCGTCTATGAAGATAATGGCTGGCTGCAGCTTGTGAGATAGCGTGAACACCGCTGTGACTGAAAAGAGGAAGGGGGAGAAACAAGCGGAAACAGGGGAAGTGCGAAAAACAACAGGGAACTGAGTGTTGTTGTTGCTCTGAGCGCCTGCCTACGCTGCCTCGGGACGGACTCCACCCACCTCGTCGACGAAGATGATTGCCGGCTGCAGCTTGTGGGCTAACGTGAACACGCTGTGACTGTACCAAGGGGAAGGTAAAGTGTGCAAGGAGGGAGAAGGGAGGGGATAAGGTACTCTTTCTGTCCACCTCCGTCGATGAAGATGATTGCCTCCGTGACTGAGAAATGTGGGGAAGGGCGGAACCAGAGCAAGTGAGAAACGAGTGATCATCAGCTGAAATTGCGTTGACAGGTCGCTGCCCCAGGGAGGACTCGACCTTGTCAAGAAGATGATGGCTGGCTGCAGCTTGTGCGCTAGCGTGACTTGCTGTAACAGACTGTCTGCCTGCGTTGCCCCAGGAAGGAACGACTCCCTCGTTTATGAAGATGATGGCTGGCTGCAATTTGTGCAGTGAAGTGAACACCGCTGTAACGAAGAAACCATTTGAATCTTTAAAGCAGTGACAAGAGTGCCTCGCCCCCGTCCCCGTCCCCGCCCCCGCCCTACCATCCTGAACGCATCCCCAACGTACCTAGCTTCTGAGTGCCTTTTGAGGCGCCCCAAAGGTTGAATGTTGCTCTGCATTCCTTGGCAATCGCACCCCACACACACACCCTTCCCCACAACCCACCCCCATCGCACCTAGCTTCTGAGCGTCCCCAAACCACTTGCTCATAAGGTTGGCGATTCTGACGTTGATAAACACCGCTCTGCACTCCTTTGCAATCGCCTTCGCCAAGAGCGTCTTGCCCGTGCCTGGCGGGCCAAACAGCAGCACACCCTTCTGTGGTCTGCATGCATGCATGGGCAGAGAAGGGAGGGAGGGAGGGAGGGGGTGCAAAACAGAACAGACATCACTGGGTTGGAAAAGGAAGTCAAGGATTTCATCAGACAAGGTCATGCAGGGACTCGTTGTCATGCAGGGACTCGTTGTCATGCAGGGACTCGTTGTCATGCAGGGACTCGTTGTCATGCAGGGACTCGTTGTCATGCAGGGACTCGTTGTCATGCAGGGACTCGTTGTCATGCAGGGACTCGTTGTCATGCAGGGACTCGTTGTCATGCAGGGACTCGTTGTCATGCAGGGACTCGTTGTCATGCAGGGACTCGTTGTCATGCAGGGACTCGTTGTACCAAACAGGGGAAAACTCCTTGACATGCTGCACTGCAGGCCGCCTGTAAATCTCACCTCACATAACGCATCCTGTACCGAACAGGGGACTCTCTACACAATGCACTGCACCGCAGCATGCGGGGTTTGAGCAAAGAGCGCCGGTCATTGAAGAAAAGGAATGAAGAGAGCAAGTGGGCTCTTTGACGTACGGAGACTCCTTGACGTGCTACAAGTTGACTTTTAAGTCGACTCAAAAGTCAACTCTTTGAGCAAAGAGCGCCGGTCATTGAAGAAAAGGAATGAAGAGAGCAAGTGGGCTCTTTGACGTACGGAGACTCCTTGACGTGCTGCAAGTTGACTTTTAAGTCGACTCAAAAGTCAACTCTTTGAGCAAAGAGCGCCGGTCATTGAAGAAAAGGAATGAAGAGAGCAAGTGGGCTCCTTGACGTGCAGAGACTCCTTGACGTGCAGCAGGCTGCCAATGGACCTCATCCGAATGTCTCACCTTTTCTATTAGCACCACTCTGAACCCACACTCACCACAGCAATCGCCCTTGGGCAAAAAGCTCTGGGCGCTGGAGAGGCAGAAGGACGAGATCGTGAAGGGACTCCTTGACGTGCTGCAGGCCGCCTATGGAGTCCCAAACGTACAAGCCCTCACCTATCCCTCACCACCTATCCCTCACCTATCCCTCACCTATCCCTCACCTATCCCTCACCTCTCCCTCACCTATCCCTCACCTATCCCTCACCTCTCCCTCACCTATCCCTCACCTATCCTATAACGCCTTTCTTCAAAGTCACGCAAACAACTCACCGCAACAGGGGGCCGGCCTTGAGCAAAAAGCTCCGGTCACTGGAGGGGCAGTAGTAAGAGGAGGTCGTGGAGAGACTCCCTGGCGTGCTGCAAAGAACGCTACAGCACCCCTCCCCCCCACCCACCCACACCTACCGCAACAGGCGCCCCTGTGCAAAGAGCTCTGGTCGCTGCAGGGGCAAAATGACAAGGTCGTGAAGAGACTCCTTGACGTGCTGCAGGCCGCCTATGGAGTCAAAGGTGACGTGGATGTCCTGTGGGTTGATGACATCGTTGGCTATCACGTCCTGATAGGTACAGAGGGGTGGTGAGGGGTGGAAAACGATAGAGTGGGATCAAGAGTGATTGGGACGGGAATGACGAGATCGTGCCGGGACTCCTTGACGTGCTGCAGGCCATCACACAGCCTATGGAGTCCGAGGTGACGTGGATGTCCAGTGGGTTGATCACGTCGTTGGCTATCACGTCCTGATGAGGAGGATATAAAGGGTTGGAACGGGGTGGAGAGGGGTACAGAGGGGTGGAGTAGGGTAGAGAGGGGGAAGGAGTCAAGGGTGACGTGGATGTCCTGTGAGTTGATGACGTCGTTGGCTATCACATCTTGATGGGTAGAGAAGGATGGAGAGGGATAGATTGGTGTAGAGAGGGATGGAGAGGGATGGAACCGGCCGAGCTGCTTCGCGATCTCTACCTAAAGGTGAATGACATGTGAGTTAACGAACCTCGTACGTGTTGTTCTGAATATACAGCCGACCAAGGCGCTTCGCGATCTCTTTCTTGCGCTGCGCGATTGAGGTCCAGCTGGCGGAACGTGAAGAGCAGCACGATCCCCCCCCCCCTGTGCGCGGAATCCCCCCCGGGCGCAGCGGACTCACCTCATACGTGTTGGTCTCGATGTACGGGCGACCCAGTCGCTTGGCGATCTCCCTTTTCCGCTGCTTCGCGAGCTTCGCCTGCGCGCGGTTGGGGTCCAGCTGAGTCATGCTGACACGTGACTTGCCAACACTTACCTCATACATGTTGGTCTCGATGTACGGCCGACCCAGTCTCTTCGCGATCTCCCTTTTCCGCTGCTTCGCGAGCTTCGCCTGCGCGCGGTTGGGGTCCAGCTGGCGGAACGTGAAGAGCAGCACGAGCGCGCTGATCCCCGCGCTGCACACGTACAGCAGTAGCTCTTGCGCCAGCGCGGACCCCCCGCGCGCGGAACCCCCGCGCCCCCCCGCTCCGCCGCCGGCAGCGCCAGCCATGCTCGTGTGTGTGGGTCTGTCGGGAAGGAGACTGTCGCTGATGATTTTGAATATGTTTTTGCTGCTGCTGCCGTTGCTGTTGTTGCTGTTGCTACTGATGATGCTACTGTTTCTATTGTTGAAGGTGCTGCCACTGCTACTGTTACTGTTGTTGCTCCCGCTGCTGCTGCTATCACTGTTGCGGCTATTTCTGCTCCAGGGCAGCTGAAATTCTTTCCCGTCAAAGAGCATGAGCTCTCATTGGACGAAGATTCAGCACGCGACAACTTCAAGGGACAAATCAGGTGAAAAGGTATAAAACCTCGACTAAGAAGCAGCTGAATTGAGACCGCAATCGGGAAGCTGGACTGAGGCAGGGTGCGACGAAACTAGCGAGAGGTTACTGGTCGGCTCGCGAAAACTTTCGGAGAGGTCTGTTCGCGAAATAAGGTAACATGGCTACGATGATCTCGCAGAGAGCCAGAAACGGGCCATTATACGTCAACGAGAGCAGATAGTCCTACACACGACAAAGCGATCAATTACCTCATCTAAGACCTAATCCGAAGCGTCGCACTTCAAATTCGATCGCGAGCCAAACCTGCCGGCCACTAGTTACTACAAAGCGGTCTCCCGTAAGTGTCCCCTAAATGCTCCGTAAGTGCTCCGTAAGTGCGCCAAAAGAGATCGCTTTCCGTTGCAGGAACTACGGCAGGTCTGATCTGGGCTGATGGCTGCTGCAAGAGAGTGCTACGTGTCGCTAGGTGTATTCATCAAGGTAAGGAAGGAGCGAAGCACAGCGAAGCGCGACGAAGTGACGTCATGATAAGGACAGGGAAACTCTGGCACCCTTGATCTCTCCGCATGCGATATAAGACACCCGCGGCCTTGATTAACACGCAACCTGTCACGAGATTGGCAATGGAAAATAAATTCTTGCACACATTCTTTTATCTGATGAATCCGCATAAAGATTTTACAGAATGATTGTTTCAGCAACGTATGGTAACCCCCCAATTCCTTGTACATTGCATACAGCATATACCTGACAGGAAAAAAAAATATATAAAATTATAATGCCTTGCACTCCAAACAATTGCTGCTAGCCCATATGAGGGGCCATTCCCTCAACCTTCTCACTTGCTCACTTCATCCACTCTCTCCCTCCCAAACATCACAGTCAGCACCGCATGATCTGACAGCGTATAATCCTCAGGCCACCTCCCCTCCTCCATCTCAGGCGGGAACAGTGATGCCTTCACCACAGCCAGACTCACCCCCCCATTGCCCACGTCTATTTCACACTCCTCCACCTGTTCATCTCCTGCCTGAACACTTGCTGCACCACCAGTAACTTCCTTAGCTGCATCTGCACTGGCAGCATCAACAGAAGCACCAACAGCACCACCAACAGCAGCACCACCAGCATCAGCAGCACCGCTGCCATCTCTACAGCGATTGTTCCCCTGCCCCGCCTCGCCCTCCACATTGAGCCCTCTGCGGCTCTCCCAGTACGGCTGCCCCCCCTGCAACACCGCCTGCTCCTTCTCCTCCCACCGCCGCTGCTTCTGCTGCTCTTGTGAGGATGCAGCAGACGGGCTAGCAGCCGAAGGTGCAGCACCGGCAGAGACAGCAGCCGCGCCGGCAGCAGCAGCAGGGGCACAAGCAGAGGCGGCAGAACCAGGGGCAGCAGCAGCAGCAGAGGCGGCGGCGAGGGAGGCAGCAAGTGAAGCAGCCATGGACTGCTTGAGGGTATCGACCCGCGAGTCCCATGTGGGCTGCTGGAACATGTCCTGAAACTCGTTAAAATCCACCCATCCATCCCCATCCGTGTCCGCCCCTTGCATCAGCTCTGCCACTTCAACCTCTGTTAATCCAATGGAGTTGTCCCCCGTGAGGCCGAGCTGCAGGGGAGAGAGAAGGGAAAGAGAGAGGATGGAAAGAGAGAGAAGGGGGACCACGTGGGTTGCTGAAACATGTCCTGAAACTCGTTAAAATCCACCCATCCATCCCCATCCGTGTCCGCCCCTTGCATCAGCTCTGCCACTTCAACCTCTGTTAATCCAATGGAGTTGTCCCCCGTGAGGCCGAGCTGCAGGGGAGAGAGAAGGGAAAGAGAGAGGATGGAAAGAGAGAGAAGGGGGACCACGTGGGCTGCTGAAACATGTCCTGAAACTCGTTAAAATCCACCCATCCATCCCCATCCGTGTCCGCCCCTTGCATCAGCTCTGCCACTTCAACCTCTGTTAATCCAATGGAGTTGTCCCCCGTGAGGCCGAGCTGCAGGGGAGAGAGAAGGGAAAGAGAGAGGATGGAAAGAGAGAGAAGGGGGACCACGTGGGCTGCTGAAACATGTCCTGAAACTCATTGAAGACCACCCACCCGTCGTCGGCCTTGGCTCAGGTGGCACCCACCTGAGCCAAGGCCGGCTGGAAGTCCTCAACGGTAAAGGCAGTGACACAGCACTCCTGCCACTAGTCACTATTCCTTCATAACTTTCAGCCTACCTGGCCCAGCTCTACCTGCCCCAGCTCTACCTTCCCCAGCCTGATGACCCACCTGAGCCACTGCCAGCTGGAAGTCTTCAATGGTAAAGGCAGTGATGCAACACTCCTGCCTCTCCATACCCTCCTCATCACTGTCGTAATACCTCCACGCCTCCTCATCCTCCTCCTCCTCCTCCACCCCCTGCTCCTGCTCCTCGGCCGCTGGGTCATCATTCTGCTGTTGCCCGAAGTCCATGCTGACGTCAGCAGCGTCGGTGGCGTTTGGGTCCGAGGTGAAACAGACAGTGTGCTCAAAAGGAGATGTGTCGCCTGCTGTCGCAAAGAACTGAAACGCGTGACGTGCGTCTGTAATGCCTGCTGCTAGCAGCTTGGACTGCGAGGGATGGGGGAGGGTGAAGTGGCGAGAGGGGGATCCCAAGGGAGAAAATGAGGCTTCAGGAGAAGCACTAAGATGCAAACCCTTAGAATGAAGCACTAGAATGCATGCCGTCTGCTGTGTGTCACCCACGTCTCGAAGCACTAGAATGCATGCTGTCTGCTGTGTGTTTCCAAAGAAAGGTGTCACCCACACATTGCCGAAAAAGTGCACAAGTAGCATAACAGTTTGGTTTGGCCATTCTGCCTCACCTCATACAATCCAAGCGCTGCCTTGCGCCAGTTCAAGACAGGGTTGCTCCTGAGCGTGCAGGCATTGAGCATCAGTGGAGGGGCCGGCACTGAAACTGGGCTCATTGTAATTGACTGTCTCAACCTGTGAATGACTGATACACTATGCTGCTGCCTCTCACCTTGATCAGCCCAAACACGGCCTTGCGCCAATTCAAGATGGGATGGCTCATGGGCGTGCGGGCGTTGAGCATCCACACATAGTCCACCCCGCACACGTCGCCCCTGTGACTGCGGTGGCTCACCCACTGCGGAGAAATAGAAACGAGGGGGGATGGTGGGGAAAGGGAGGGAGAGAAGGAAGGCATGCGATGCAATTCACGTAGTCCACTTTCGAGATTTTTCAGATGGGATTTGTAAATATGCTATTAGGGAGTCACTTTTGAGAATTCTCAAAAGCACGCATCCCCCCTGTGAGTGCCATAACAGTGACCTGCTCATCCACGTCACCTACCTTGTCATCCACGTCATATCCCTTCTAGTCCACGTCACCCACCGTCTCATCCACGTCATTGAGGTGGTGCGCCGTGTCATAGGAGGAGAGGAAGCCCTGCGAGCGCAGCAGCTTGTACACGTTGCCCTCCTTGGTGCCATTCAGATCACTGGGAGGAGAGAAAGGGGAAGGGAAAAGGGGGATAAGAAGAGAAACGGAGGCACCATGAAGTCAAGACAAGGGTTGAGCGCAGCAGCTTGTTCACGTTGCCCTCCTTGGTGCCATTCAGATCGTTGGGTGGGGGGAAAGGGGGAAAGGGGTGCATGAGAGAGAAGGTTCAGAGAGCATGTGGACAGAGCAGCACTGATCGAAGCAGCTTGTACACGTTGCCCTCCTTGGCGCCGTTCAGATCACTGAGAACAGGCAGGAGGACGAGAGGAAAAGAGTGCACGAGAGAGGAAACAGTGGGCATGTGAAAGGAGCAACAGTGATCTCAGACGTTTCTACATGCAAGGATGAGAGGGGCAAGTGACCACAGGAAAGGGCACCCGCACCCGCACAGAATGACAGGAGCGGGTCTGCCAGCCTGCTCTATCCGACACTGCTCCACTCGCTCCAGCAGCTTGTACACCTGGTGGGGTGCAGAAGAGACATACACACAGGCATACACACACACACACACACACACACACACACACACACACAGGCATACACACACACACACACACACACACACACACACGAATATGAAGGCAACGACAACAATCGCACTGCTCTGTGCTGTCCGGCACTGCTCCACCCGCTCCAGCAGCTTGTACACCTGCCATGGTGCAAAACAGAAGCACACAGAGATGAACACACGTACAAGCGTGAATGTGAAGTCGTGACTTTTGAAAATTCGCAAGAGCAGAGCAATTCGGTTGTGAGTGAGAAGCAGACCAAATGCGCGCCCGTCAGAGCAGAGAAGTGGGATGTCCTCACATGCATATTCGCATGGCAGAGGGCCACGTGGCAGAGGCCCACGTGGCATTGCCGAATCACACTCCCTCTCTCTCATCTCCCCCCTCGTCCTCTCGAATGGTCCTTGCATTTCATATGGGGTGGTACAAAGGAAGATGCAAACACAAAGCATAAACAAACACACAAACCGGTATCCTATCCCCCTCAAGTCCCCCACCTACTCCGCCCCCCCCTTTGTCCGACCCTACTGGTCGAAAGGGGCCTCGATCAACTGGTGCAGCTGTCCCTCACTGAGAGGGATGATGGGGCCCCGAAAGCCGAGCTCGTCCGCCGCCAAGGCCTCATTGGTCTTGGTGCGGAGGGCGTTGGCCTGCGCCCGCTGGAGACACACGCTCCAGCGCTGGCGGTACTCCGTCAGCAGCTTCGCTGCTTCGTAGGAGGTAGGTGCTGCGTTAAAACGCAGCTTCGCCGCCAGCTCCGCGCATTGCCGCAGGTAAGCCATCACCCCTGGCGAGGGGTAGCCGTAGGTTTCTACTGCAAGCGCGTGGAACCCCACCCACGCGTTCCGACGAGCGTACTTCTCCTCCTTTTTTGCCGCTGCCGCCCTAGCCGCCCATCCAGGAGCTCGTCCTCTCTCTCTCCCTCCCATACACTATGAAGAGACCAAGCACGGCAGCAGCAGTTCGCCTGGCAGCTGCTGACCTGGCAGCGGCTGACCTGGCAGCTGCTGACCTGGCAGTGGCTGACCTGGCAGTGGCTGACCTGGCAGCAAAAGCCCACCTGGCAGAGGCGGATGATGTTGGAGTTGGCGTCGTGCGGGAACAGCAGATGCGTGTTCACCACCAGCATATCCTCCTCATGCTCCTCCTCCGCTGATGCTCTTGCTCTTGCTGCTCATGCAAACCCTCCCTCACTCCCACCTGACAGAAGCCCACCTGATCAAAGCCCACCTGGCAGACGTGGCACACACCCACCTGGCAGAGGCGGATGATGTTGGAGTTGGCGTCATGCGGGAACAGCAGATGCGTATTCACCATCAACACATCCTCCTCCTCTCCCTCCGCTCCGTCACTCCCTTCCCGCCCCGCCCTCCCCCCCAGGCGTCCCTTGGATCTCAGCCGTACGATCTGAGCAACGCGGTCCCCACAGTCGTGGAAGAGCAGCTGCTGGTAGTCCACCACGTGCCACTGGTCGCTCTTGACAGCGATCATTAAGCCTGGAGAAGGGGAAAATGGAGCAGGTCCGGCTGAGGGAAAGGCTAGAGAAAGGACAGAACCGGCCCCACAGTCGTGGAAGAGCAGCTGCTGGTAGTCCACTACGTGCCACTGGTCCTGCTTCACTGCTATCATGAGACCTGCAGGGATGGGGGAGTCAACGTGAGTCAACGTGCGTGAGTCAAGCAGCTGCTGATAGTCCGCCACGTGCCACTGATCGCTCTTTACCACTATCATGAGACCTGGAAAGAGGGGAAGGGGGAGTAGGCTCGGCTGAGGCAAAGGAGCAAGGACAGGGCAGGTCCCCAGGCCCACAGTCATGGAAGAGCAGCTGCTGGTAGTCCACTACGTGCCACTGGTCCTGCTTCACTGCTATCATGAGACCTGGAGGGGTGGGGGAGAGTCAACGTCAGTCAACGTTAGTCAACGTTCGTGAGTCAAATAGCAGCTGCTGGTAGTCCACAAAGCGCCACTGGTCGCTCTTCACGGCTATCATGAGACCTGGAGACAAAGGGGCGGAAGGGAAGAGCAGGTTTGGCAGGCGCAGAGCGGGGGTGAACCCACTCGGCTCGGGATACGACAGCCAGCAGTCCTGCAGGGACACGATCTACGAGCCCGTCGAAATCAGGGTTACCAGGTTTCGTTGAAGTTCCCTCTGACTCACCATCTCCCCGGTTGTTGGTTCTGGGCAGTTTGAGCGTGCGGTAACCAGCAGCACCCAGCGAGGAGTCAAACAGGCGAACCCACTCGGGATGCGACAGCCAGCACTCCTGCAGGCACACGATTGACGAACCCGTCGCCACTATGGTATCCAGAATTCGCTCGCTTCGCGGAAGCCACAGGTCTCGAAACTCGCTCTCTCTCTGGCCCTGCGGTAGGTGCGGGAATCCGGAAGCGGGGGAACGGGAGAAGGAAAAATGAGAGTTCATTGCTTCGTGGTGAGAACGAGGCAGCCATGCCACCACGCAGCCACAGCTTCCGAAAGTTGCTCTCTCCTTCCAGGAAGAAGAAAAGGTGTTAGATTTGCTCTCTCCAGTCGTGCAGTAACCGGGAAGAAGAAAAGGTGTTAGTTTTGATTTCTTTCCACGTTCTAGCGAACTCCTTTGTTTGGAAGTATCTTTGTGTAGGAGGGCTTAGCTCACGCCGAGATATGCAGATTCTCACGGGTTCATCACATCATATCCCACGATACCTCTCTGTTGATTCGCTTGAATATAGGCGCGAGCATGTTGAACGTGGTACACGTCAGCACCACGTCATCCGTAATCCCTTTTCCGTCTTTCTCGCGACCTGTGTCGGCCTCGGTCGGCGAGTCAACGAAAGTCACTGCAGCAGTGCTATCGACAAAAACCCCGTGAGCTAGCGAACCGTTATTCGCGATTCGGTCCCGGCTGTTAATGCTACTAACTCTGTCAGGTCGCGACTCGTCCACCCTAGTAAGGGTGGCATTCTGTCCATCTGTCGACGGCCTATCATTGGACGCCACGCGTCCGTCGCTTCGCAGCTGATTGGTCGCTTGATGAACACTTCTTCGTCGCTGACGTAAGAGCGGTGTCGCGTGCCTGTCGGGAGCAGATAAGGAAAACCGACGACCAGTTGCGTGACGATCTGACAGTAAACGCGATGCACACGCGAACGCCAAGTCGGATGCGACGCCGGAGATTCCCGAGAGATGCAGACTGCCGACTACGCGGCTGCTACTGAGCGCGGATAACGAGCTTCCTATTAATACTGTCGAACCCATCTTGTATCGAGCACACGATACGGCCCAACCGACACAATACGCACAAACGAACGCTGTAGGATGATGTATCGGAATATAGGGAGGAATATCGTCGCACAAATAAATCAGTCAGGTAACGCGTGACGAATGACAACAGATGCTTAACTCAGAATGATTAAGCAAAGCAAAATCCGTCCTCCACGAAAAGTGCCTTCCTTCACGGAATCTCCACGGTTGTGTTCCCAAGTAGATCCAGGAGCTCCGAATCTCAAATATATAGCTCCATCTTCTTCGAACAATTCAATTGCTACATCTGGGGTGTGCAGGCTCTCGCGAATATTCGTTCGAGTCTTGAGAGAAATCCAATTGCGAAACTGGCGAGATGCGGCACGATGTTATGGTTACATAAGGAAAACCTGAAGGCTGAAACGTTTCTCTCGCAATGCGTCCTCAAAGTCCACCCTTTCCAAATGGTTGTGTGATGGACGCGAAACGTGGGGCGCAGACAAGAAAGCATTTTGATGTCAGGAAAGCGCATATGCTGGGGAAAAGGGCCATGTACACCGTGCATTTCTGACCGCGCACGCGGGATCGAGGCTCACTGGTGGTCTCAGAATTGCCAAGTGTGTGACTGCCCGAAAAGCGGACTGACACAAGCGAACTCAGTGGATGAGTGCCACGTGGTCAAAGCAACGTTCCGTTCCAGTCACTGACGATACGTCATTCGCTTGAGAGAGGATGCTTGAACCCGTTAACTACAGATCCATAGTGCTGAGATATGCAATAATTACACACAAGGAACGAAAATAGGGGAAAAAGTCACGTACTTAGGTGAGTGTAAGGAAAATTCCTTTTCCTTCGCGTCCCTGCTCAGCGCGTACACCACTAACAGCACCCCACAACATTCCGTTACCACTCGCAACATTCGCCTCGACACCATTCCCGCCACTGTTCACGATGCGACCCAACCTCATGGTTCGGTTGGTAACCCGCGCTCCGGACCTCCGCCTCGACAGTTCCCAACCTCGGCACCAGGCCCGTCGCGCACCCCAATTTCCCACGTTAACGTTACCACCGTAGCTTCGCTATATATTCTTCGCTCAACCTTTCGCTCATTGTATTCTTGTCTCGATAGTGCAATCCTCGCTCGCTCACTCAATTGCACTCGTAACACTTGGTCATCAGAGCCTACGATCTTCTCTCGGACCGCACCCACACCTTCGCTTCCCCACTATCCATTTTTCTGGGGGGGGTAGACGTCTCTCAGCGATCAAGCACCGCCGCTCGTAGTGCTCTCTCGTAAGTACGCACGACCACGACAGAGGCTCTCGCTGAGCTTGCCCGACACCCCCGCCATGGCAGAACTTAATGTCGCGACACTGGCACAGGAGCAGCTAGACCGGCTCATGCGCCAACTCGAAGAATCGGCGCTTGAAATCGCCACACTCACGGCGGAACGTGACTCCGCTCGCCAACAATCGACAGTGAATGCATCAGCACCAACAAACACACCTGCACACTCCAAGGAGCCGATTGTTATTTCCTCCGGCACCCGACACAGAACGACAGCGTGGGACAGCGCTCAGGCGCAGCCAGTGAGGGCGACGCTCACTCAATGCCTGGCATGGAGAGAAACAGGACCGCACCAAGCCCACGGGAGCCCCGCGAAGCCCGTCGGCACATGGAATTTGCGGCGACAAGTGGCGAGTATGCCGTCACGGCACCAATGCCACTCAAGCCGCAGCGTCCGCCCTGTTTCGACCTGAGCCAACGTGGGGGTCCGACGGTTCAGTCGTGGGTCTTCACGATGAACGTTTTTTTCGACGCAAATTACGTCGAGTCGGACGCAGCGAAGATTCGCTACGCTGTTTCGCTACTGAGGGGCCCTGCCATGGATTGGTGGCAAGTCATCGTGACGTCGCCACGCACCTACGAGCCACCGTTGCAAGACAGCCCAGTACAGCACGTGGGATAAGTGGTGCGCAGGGCTTCGGGCGTGTTTCGAGCCAATCGCGGCTTCAATTTCCGCGCGTCAGAAACTGCGCACTTGGCGGCAGCTCGGGTCGGTTCAAGACTACACCAGCGGCTTTCTCGCACTATGCGAACAAGTCGGCTATATGCATGAAGCGGAGCGGGTGGACCGTTACGTCGGAGGGCTAAAGCCGGACATATCGCACAGAATTATGCTACGCGGGCTCTCGAATTTCAACGAGATCCTCGCGCTCGCCGAGAAAATCGACATCCTACGACGACCGAGACCGGGGTCCTACTACGGACAACGTCCTCGGGGACCGATCGAGCACGCCACCGTACACGCCGTTGCGACGAATGCAGCTGCCGCACCATTTAAGGGGCGCTGCTTTGCTTGCAATAGGCCGGGCCATCGCAAGAGTGAATGCCCAGAGGAGCTGAGGCGCCGCGGAACAGAGCAGGGGCAAGAGTCTCAGAGGCCGGGAAACGCCAGCAGTCAGTAGAAGTTGGGCCAACTACTGACGAGACTGCCTGCTCGCCCAACTTCACCGACCCTCACCGAGTCACAGTACCGATTCACGCTATCGATCGGGCTCGGATGAATAAGGAGGGTACAGCGACGGATTGCCCAGTACTGATTCACGGGAAAATACAGGGAGCAGCAGTGAAGATTTTTATAGACGGAGGCGCAAGTCACAGCTTAGTTAATACCGCGACTGCACGGAAGCTGCAACTGACACTTAGTCGGTGCTTACTGAAGATAGATGCACGCTTAGTTGACGGAACGCCGCTGGCCATACGGGAAAAAGTGGAGAGAGTAAAAGTCCGCTGTGGGGGGAACTTCGGGTTTACACAGGAAATGCTCGCGACGACATTGGATGGGCACGACATTTTACTGGGACGTGATTGGCTACGACGATACAACCCGCGAATCGACTGGACGACGAGTAGCTGCACTGTGCGAAGTAGCGGTAACTGGGTGGAACTACCTCGCTGGCAGTCGCCTGAGTCTTCAACGGCCCACGTCAACGCCATCACGATGAAACGGGCTGTCGCCGCTGGAGCTGACTGTCAGAATATTATGCTCTAGCCTGTAGTGGGGTGCTCTATAGCGAGTACAACCCTTCTAGGGTTTGCTATTTGTATCCTCATTCTTGCTAGTGCAACCCTCCTTCTTCTTTTTAAACTTTCACATGGTATCAGAGCAGGTCGATCCCCTTGGATCGATCCTGTGGGTGGGCTCACCACCTCGTTGCTTCCGCTGCAACTTCCACTACTACCTTCTGTGCCGCACGCCCCGTGGCGTGCGGCAGTTTTTCTTCCCGCCGCGCGCCCCGAGGCGCGCGGCGGTTTTCTGCCCGCCGTGCGCCCCGTGGCGCGCGGCGGTTCTCTGCCCGCTGTGCGCCCCGAGGCGCGCGGCGGGCTTCTACCCCGTCACTCGCCGCGTCGCCCTCGGGAGGCGCTGCGACGGGCGACGGGGACCCGCGCGTCGCCCCCCGTCGCCCGTCGTGGCCTGCGCGCGGCCCGTACAGCCGGCGCGCGGCCCGTACGGGCTGCGCCAGGCCTGCGCGCGGCCCGTACGGGCTGCGCCAGACCCGCGCGCGGCCCGTACGGGCTGCGCCAGGCCCGCGCGCGGCCCGTACGGGCTGCGCCAGGCCCGCGCGCGGCTCGGGCCGCCTGCGCGCGGTTC